CCTACGTTGTTTACAGTGCTAATTGATTTTCAGCAATGTAACAAGACTATGATCCAAAAGAGTCCATGGATTACCATACACACTGCTGAAATTCACAGCTCCTCTGCCATTTTAGTGCCTCTAGCTGCCAATACCAGGGTTTGCAGTTTCAAGGCAAGTATAAATATTTCTAACGCTTTTTTCCCTTTGGCAATTAAATCCACAGAGAAAAAGAAGCTATTTATTGAGATTTGTATTTCCTGTTCTATTTCCACCATATAAACTTTGATCATAACAACACAAAGTAAAAGGCCACAATACAAAGATGGGACATTTTGTTGACTGACATATTTCTTGTGTGACATATTATATTGTAACATTTCATAAAGGGCAGAGTTGGATCTAAAAACAGATCTTTGCAGGGTCTCAGACAAGCCTCCAGGTATCTCAGGACATACTGGATCTAAAAACAGATCCGTGCAGGGTCACAGACAAGCCTTCAGGACATCTTGAAATGAGAATACTGTTAAGTTCTTCCTCTCCAGAACTGAACTACCAATAACAAATGGCAATTAAAAGTAACTCATTTGTATGATTTATGTTTATTTTGCTTACTTCTTGTGAGATGGTAGGAGACACAGCAGCAGCAAAAACAGCATCTGATCGCCAGACCTGTGCCTACAGCCTCTTCAATTAATGAAATCCAGTTGGTCCTGATTGGATGAATAGGGGTTAAAACTTGGTCAGCTGGATGGATACAATGGACCTTCCGAGTTCTTAATTACTACTGCTCTTGCAAATTTATACAGACTGCACTTCAAGGAGATCCTTTCAGCAACATGAAAATACACGGGCTTTGAAAAATGTTTATGGTTTTTCTTTTTGAGTAGTTTTTTTCCCCAGTTAAAAGGGCCAAACCACCATTTGTTCAAATTTCGCAAAGAAAATCTTGCTCTCCATTATCTCTGAACTGTCTTTGAAGAAGACCTGCACCACGCAACCTCTATATCCCTCGTGCACCTTATGAAAAATAGGTGTGAGCAGCATATAGATTGTATATGTCTATTAAATTAGTTATATAATAGTCTATATTAAATGAGTTTTATATCGGTATAAACTGTTTTTTTTCTTCAGAACTGTGATGCATTCTTCTGTCATCTACACTCACCTAAAGGATTATTAGGAACACCTGTTAAATTTCTCATTAATGCAATTATCTAATCAACCAATCACATGGCAGTTGCTTCAATGCATTTAGGGGTGTGGTCCTGGTCAAGACAATCTCCTGAACTTCAAACTGAATGTCAGAATGGGAAAGAAAGGTGATTTAAGCAATTTTGAGCGTGGCATGGTTGTTGGTGCCAGACGGGCCGGTCTGAGTATTTCACAATCTGTTCAGTTACTGGGATTTTCACGCACAACCATTTCTAGGGTTTACAAAGAATGGTGTGCAAAGGGAAAAACATCCAGTATGTGGCAGTCCTGTGGGCGAAAATGCCTTGTTGATGCTAGAGGTCAGAGGAGAATGGGCCGACTGATTCAAGCTGATAGAAGAGCAACTTTGACTGAAATAACCACTCGTTACACCCGAGGTATGCAGCAAAGCATTTGTGAAGCCACAACACGCACAACCTTGAGGCGGATGGGCTACAACAGCAGAAGACCCCACCGGGTACCACTCATCTCCACTACAAATAGGAAAAAGAAGCTACAATTTGCACGAGCTCACCAAAATTGGACAGTTGAAGACTGGAAAAATGTTGCCTGGTCTGATGAGTCTCGATTTCTGTTGAGACATTCAAATGGTATAGTCAGAATTTGGCGTAAACAGAATGAGAACATGGATCCATCATGCCTTGTTACCACTGTGCAGGCTGGTGGTGGTGGTGTAATGGTGTGATGTTTTTTTGGCACACTTTAGGCCCCTTAGTGCCAATTGGGCATCGTTTAAATGCCACGGCCTACCTGAGCATTGTTTCTGACCATGTCCATCCCTTTATGACCACCATGTACCCATCCTCTGATGGCTACTTCCAGCAGGATAATGCACCATGTCACAAAGCTCGAATCATTTCAAATTGGTTTCTTGAACATGACAATGAGTTCACTGTACTAAAATAGCCCCCACAGTCACCAGATCTCAACCCAATAGAGCATCTTTGGGATGTGGTGGAACGGGAGCTTCGTGCCCTGGATGTGCATCTCACAAATCTCCATCAACTGCAAGATGCTATCCTATCAATATGGGCCAACATTTCTAAAGAATGCTTTCAGCACCTTGTTGAATCAATGCCACGTAGAATTAAGGCAGTTCTGAAGGCGAAAGGGGGTCAAACACCGTATTAGTATGGTGTTCCTAATAATCCTTTAGGTGAGTGTATGTATAACACTGATCTAACAGTTAACAGGATAGTGCTGTTTGCCATATCACATGTGAATATGTGTATTTAAAAGTCTGCTATATGTGTGGGAATCATAGAAATGCCACAGCAGCATACAATAAGGATATCCTGTTCATCTATAACGATACACTGTTCATCTATAACGATACACTGTTTATCTGTAACAATACACTGTTTATCTGTAACGATACACTGTTTATCTGTAACAATACACTGTTTATCTGTAACGATACACTGTTTATCTGTAACAATACACTTAGACCAGCACAGCAACTTGAAAACAGGACAAATAACACTAACGTTCCAGATTCCAAGTGTTTTCAACCCCAATTTAACAAAAAGTGATAGGTGAACCTACATGAAGTGATCCATTTCAGGTATACCTAAGAAAGATAACAAAGTGTTAAAATATATTTAAAATTTATGAAATTACTTTTATCTTCCCAAAATTCATTTATATAAATACCATCAGCATATTCACTTATTAAAGGAAAACACAGATTCTATTCTATTGGGTTGAAAATACTATCATTCATCTCCCAATCAATTCAGTCTGCAATCTCACTCCTGTATAGTAGTAATGACACTGTTGGACACTGACAAGAGTTCTTCAGACAGTTATTGGCAAGAAGAAAGAGCCCAACATGTGAGATAAGATGCGAAATTCTTTCCTAAGTATTGGCTTCAATCAAAGCACATTTTTTACAAGTAATATCTCAACTTGGTTATATATTAGAGAATGAAACTACAAAATGATCTGGGACATTCATGTGTGTTCTGGCATTGTGGGAAAAAAAGCAACGTACGGCTAATTTTAGATTATTATCAGACTGACATTGGCAGGAGATTCTTTTTAATTCCAGTGGTTTTGCCCAAATCCTTTTTATCCTCATTACCTCAGTAAAATGGGCATTCCTTCACTACAGGGGACAAATTTCACCTTTATAAATATGAATTGCTGATTGCTGAACATTGTTGGTTTTAGTTTTTTTTAGTACTGACCTCAGTCACAATATTGGATTATTAAAACAGGAAGTCACAGTGTCTCCTACATATGCATTTTTTGCCACAAAATAATAATGGTAAAGGTCACTTAAGGTCACACTTCATGTGGTCACTGTTCTGTCTCACTAATGCTGTTCCCTAACTACATATTCTGTTCCTCAAATGCAGATTAATGTATTAAACATTTTCTGGATTTCTTCGGTACTTATGGTTGACTACCATGAATATCTGTTATAAGCCTGAATTATTCTTCATTATTTATTACAAATAAAACAATAAAACGTGTACATATCATGAAAAAAATTCTACCAAGATTTAAATAAAGTTTAGTGTAAGTGTCACGTCTACTAATATAAGGAATAACCCAGAATGCAGGCTGTACAGGGATTATCCCACGCAGGGACGTTTTATTTGCTTAACACGGCAGACAGCAGATGCCAACAGGCAACAGTGAACGGACAGGGGATACTGGACTGAAAAACGCTTATAAAAAAGGGGAGTGAGGAGAAAACACAAGGCAGCTGTGAATGGTCTACAGGAGGGCAGGAACAACAGGTAAGACTGATGGGTCATAGGTGTAGTTGATTTGGAGCCACAGCCAAGGGAAACATAGGAATCAGAGAGGCGGAGCAGGCTGGATCTGACAGCAAGCATGGACCCTCAAGGCAGAAAAATAGGCTTCAGCTTGAAGTTACTGCTGGAATTTGAAACACTTTTATGTGAATTTTTCAGATCTGCTTAGTAATTATCGGCAGTGGAATGAGAAAAGAGGAAAAGAGCTTCATTAGAAACAGCTTCATCCTCACTTCTAAAAAAGTTCCAGTCCGTGAAGGGAAACGAAAAGCCATATTATGCAAATCTGTGGATTTTAAAGATTAATGTGGAATAATAAAAAAACCATGCAGATGTTTTATGGTAACGAGGGGAGCTTATCTGTCAAGTTAGTTTAAGTGCACAGGTCAAGTTCTCGGGTGCTCCGAAGAGTGAATGGACCCTCTATACAGCCATCATTTCTGCCTATGCATGAATGCCCTTTGTCAAGTAAAGGGAATACCCCAGTAAATTTAAATATAATCCGGGAATTTGTTGGAGAAACTGACAGCGGTGGTCTGAATGTTTGTATAATGTGGAGCCACATCAAAGGCTCAAACCTCTTAAAGACATAGATCCACTGGAATCTCTCATGATACAGCTCCAGCCGGTTATAGGTGAGGCAGCACGGGGGCTCTCTGGGTGCACTATTTCTCCTGATCTTGTATTCCTCCAGGCACTCCAGTTTGCTCCTGCTGGTGGGTGAATTGGCTGGTGGGGAGTAGCATGGGGCTCAGATCGTCAGGTCGTCAGATCAAATCCTGTGGTCGATAGAGTGATGTCACCACTGGGACCTTGAGCTTTAACCCCTATTGCTCTAGGCACTGGCTGACCCTGCTTTCTTGATTGCATATTGTTTTGGATAAAAGTGTTTGTGAGCTGGTGGTGGACTGGTGTCCTGTCCAGCGTGTCCTCTACCTTGTGTCCTGTGGTGGAGTGATGTCCTGACCAGGGTGTCCTCTGCCTTGTGTCCTGTGGTGGAGTGATGTCCTGACCAGGGTGTCCTCTGCCTNGTGGTGGAGTGATGTCCTGACCAGGGTGTCCTCTGCCTTGTGTCCTGTGGTGGAGTGATGTCCTGACCAGGGTGTCCTCTGCCTTGTGTCCTGTGCTTCCAGCAATAGGCTCACCTGGTCTCTTTGTCAATGTGACCAACAAAAGAGGATTTCTTAGACTGGAAGGATGCTTGATGGGAAACTGGATATACAGCTCCTCATATGGATAGAGTAAAGGATATGCAGAACTCATTTTACAGTTAGGGGGATATTTTCACAGTTAATTCATAGTTACTAGCTGCTAGTAAACAACATTGACAGTTGCTAGACCAGGTGTTGCAGAAAGTGATTATGTCTGATTTGTTCTCTGATTGTTGATCTGCTAAATACGTAATATAGAAACAAAACTTGCATCATGGAAACGCCATGTTCCCACAAGCACAGCTGGTAAATGGTCTTTTTAGTTGTTCGGCTTTGTGTTTCTTTTAGCCTTTTAGAAATCCATCTAACCACACATCTCCCAGCCATTTATCCTTCTCAGTGTTGCTGAGGTTTTACAAATATTAATGAAACTCACTGGGCAGCAGCGTTCAGTTACTTCCAGTACTCGCTGTCCAGCTCCTCCTTCTACTGATCCTCCTTCCATCCCCCCTCCTTTTATGATCCTGCATTCAGTAAACATTAAAATATGTCCAGTTTCATCCATCCAGACATTTTCTACAGGCACTAACTCATTGCACTGGGTAAGGAAATAATCAGTACAAGGCAGGGAACTAGTTGGAAATGTGGATTGTTTGTCCAGGGAATGTATCTCCAGAAAGGAACCTATAGCTAAATGTTTTCAATTAAACAATTTCCTGGGTGAGATCAAGGAATGTCCTTTTCATCCATATTTATCCATATAAAAGCAACAAGATCCAATGAAAAAGGTCTCAGATAATTACAAAAGTCTTTTAAATCTGATGGCAAGTCATGAACATTACTGTTGCAACACTGCCCTCTGGTGGCCTTTTAAAAGGGAAACGTCAGGCTAATAAATAATAGTATTTAAAATGCCAACGCCCAGCCTTGAGTCTGTGTCTTACAAGGCTTTCACAGTTCACAGCAGTTTAAAAGCAGTTTCTGCTGTGGTTTCCCAGTAAATACCAGCTTCTTCATACTGCCATGACCATGCCAATCAGCAACTCTCCTTCACCCGCATGAGGTCACGTGGCAGGAATGGCTGAATAGCAATTAGTCCTTTGTCATCATCTGTCTAATTTTATTTCCATAACAAGCCATTCAGTATCCTGAATTTATTCTATCACTTGTCTAAAATTGTTAATTACAATCATCCAATCTGCAGAGAAGGTGATTAGCTGCAACCTGCCATCCCAACAGGACCTATATGCCTCCAGAACCCTGATGCGGGCAAGAAAGATCATGGTTGACCCCTCGCATGCTGGACAGGGACTGTTCAAAAAACGACCCTCCGGCAAGAGACTCAGGACTATCAAGACCAGAACTACACGCCACAAAAACAGCTTCTTCCTCTCACCAACAAGCCCCCTGACCCCTGCTGACACAGTCCCTGTCTCTGCCACCCCCCACTCACTCTGCACCCATCTTTGTAAATCCTTTTTCACCTAGGGGTCATAATATATTTTCATATTTTTATATTCTATATTCAGTACCTCTGTTCCCCTACCGTTATTTCTACTTATCTGTTTTGCCTAATTTATGCTTTTTTTTCTTATATGTTGTCTGTGAATGTAAGAACCAATGCTGCCAATACAAATTCCTAGTACATACAGTTGTACCTGGCCAATGACGTGAATTCTGATTCTGACAGTGGACTGACAGTATCTTTAATTGAAGGGCACAATAGCCAGCTCTCACAGGAGTTCAAGTTAGTCTGCTTAACTAATATGCCACTGTGTGTGAAACACACAGCTGATGGGAGCTTCACAGGATTCTTGGTGTCCCTTCAAGTTTCCTCATGAGTGTGTTTTTGTTACTACAATACCATAGACATGAAAAGGGCATTCATTCATTTATTAATGTAGGTGTATACTGAAATACGGCAGAGAAGAGGCTCCAAAACCATAATCGCATTTGAAAGATTTCCACAGATATCAAACAGTCTCTTGTTTTAATTTAATCTATAGTGTTTGAGAGAGAGAGAGAGAGAGAGAGAGAGAGAGAGATTACTGCATGGACATTAGAAAAGCACAGGAAACATGGGGGTGGGGTGACATGTAAGAGGTCATGGACATGCATAATGTCCATCTTTGTCTCTGTGGAAAGACAAGTCCACATGCAAGGCTTATATAGCTGTTATATATACACACTGTGCATATCCCTCCATCTTCCAGCTCATCCTGATCCTGGTTATGGGAAAACTCAGACACCCCGAAACACAGGGCTGGGATACACCCTGGATCGAATATTATTGCATCCCAAAATTAGGCAATTTAGCGTCAAAGTTAATGTGATATCTTTGCCGATTTGACTTTCCTGAACCTCGTTCTGGCTCTGTGTGCTGATCCAGTACTATAGCCGCAGCATGTCTTTACCATAACGTGCAGGTAGTCAGAAAGCTGCATGTCTCGGCCCTGCCTCCTGGGGGCCGGAGGCCCGCCTGGGCTGGCCACATACTTCCAACACTCCCATCCGGCCTTGTTAGTGCGCCGGGCGGCGAGATCCTGTGCTTTCTTAAACCCCGGAGCGCGAGGAACTGACAGCACGGTTCGCCCCGCGAATTCACAATGGGCAACCTATCTCCTCTCCTTACAAGTTGGGGAAGGCATCTCAGTGCTGGGAGATGGAGGGAGTGAGGAAGGGAGAGAGAGGGAGTGAGGGAGACAGAGGTAGAGAAGAACTTTGACGTTTCAATCCACCCTCTGGTCTTAATTATGCTTTAGTGATTAATGTTCTGGGTATATAGTTTTTTTTTCTGTCTTGCAAAAAAAATGCAAGGTGTCCAGGGGCCTAGTTTGTGTCCTCAAACCGCATCACCTGTTGCACTACTGATCTAATCCTCATCTGGCTGACCTGACATGACTCCTGGAGAACAAAAGAGATGCCGGCAGTTTCTCTAGGCAGATTAGGATGGGGAGGAGCAGCGTGGTGTGGCTCCCCGTCACACAGTCTGGGCCCTGTGCAAAGGAGTCAGACCCCCCCCAGCGCGGTGCGGCTCCCCGTCACACAGTCTTGGCCCTGTGCAAAGGAGTCAGACCCCCCCCCCCCAGCGTGGTGCGGCTCCCCGTCACAGTCTGGGCCCTGTGCAAAGGAGTCAGACCCCCCCCAGCGTGGTGTGGCTCCCTGTCACACAGTCTGGGCCCAGCGCGATTCCCATTCATCCCAGGCTGGAGTGACAGCGGCTTCCCAGAAGAAGAACCTGGTGGACATCCTGGGAAGCTAACATCTCTTCAGACACATTTGCAGCAGGATGTTCCTCACAGTGAGCTGCAGGTGCTGTGGCGCATGCAAATCTGGCACTTTAGCTCCATCTGAGCCTTTTTCCAACCCTTGTCTCTGCATCCCTTTTCAGATGAACAATTATGTGACATAAATCACTCTAATGAGTTTGGTGCAATTTCCCTGCTCCGCTCCTTGTTTGCCCGTCGCTTGTTATATTAATACTGCGCTCTTTTTAAATCAACCATGCCTGACTGGCTGGGATATTTACCTCCTAACTCTTGATTGGCTTATTTGAACGGTATTGCTAAAATAATTGGTGGGCTTATATATGCTCCATCCAATCACATGCCACAATGCTTTTTCTTACATTGGTGCAGTGAAGATTAAATGTCACGTAAAAATGAATTCTGGATGGTCTCATATTTATATGAAAAACATAGATAATATTCTAATGTGTAATTATCTTAGGCTGCAATTACTTATTCAATTTTTTAATATTCTAGAAAATGAATCCATTAAATTATATTAAGCACATGGATCACAGTATAAGGGATATATCACACTGCTCTCTTGTGAAAATAGACCAAATGCAGGACATTTTCATCATCGTTTGATTCCATCAGCTATAGGGGCACAGTTACCACCAGACACCTTTTTTATCATGCGGGGAGTTTCCGCCCAAAAACAAACTCATGTCTTTTAGACTAATGTTAATGTTGTACAGTATCATTAAAATTGATGATGCTTCATTACACGTCCCTTCCTGTGAGGACAAAAAACATTTCACTTTATGTCATCTGACCCTTATATGCGCTGAGATTTCAAAGCTTCCATTAAAGGTCTCATCAGCATTTTATGAGCGAGGCCCTAACCTTTAATGACTCTTTGCCCTGTCTACACTGGCTGATTCGGTGTGGCACACTGAAGCCATCTTTTATGTTGTCAGTGTGGGATGAATTACAGGGTCATGCCTTCTGGGCTTAGCCCCACCCCAGCCAACCAGGAAAGTGTTTTTCAGGCTTCAGCCTGCCTACCTATCTCTGATTGGTGGCAACATTCATACAGACTAATCACATTGTCCCCCAATCTACTCACAGATCAGCTGGACAGGCACATGCCATACCAGCAAGGGCACCCCTCCAGTCCTGAAGAACATGACACATGAACAGGCAGCAGAGGTGTACAGCTGGGAAATTTACTGGGTAGTTCAGACATCCCATCCAATGGTGCAGCCCTGCCTTGTGTCTGGTGCTATGGAGAAGGCTCCAAATCCCTCCCCTCCATCAGGCTGACCAGGAGTCAAACCATTGGAAGATTGATGGGATTCAGATTCCAGCTAGGCCTTTTTGGGATTTGAACTTACAACCTTCAAGTTAATACTCTGTATCCATCCTCCATGTAATTTTGCTGGGATGTCCTTCTACTTCTTGAAGTCTCATTGGTCGGGTGGACCCCAGGCTTTGAGATCCTCACCAATCAAATGGGAGACTGCATGGTGGTATTGCGCTCTCAGTACACGGGTTCCTTTATCCCATAACAATGCATTAATTTCATGTGTCAGCGGGCCGGCACTGGCAGGCTGAGTGCAGCTAAACTGTGCTTAATTGGATTCCAATCCTGGGCAGCAGGCCGGTGAGGCTTCCCCTGGCCTCTCTGCTCTTTCTTACAATCTCCCAGAGCGTGACGGAGTAGATTACGCCCCCGCCGCCTGCAAACCGCATGTTTACAGTTATGCTCCATGGTGTTGGACCAATCGCTTCCCCCCACCCCCGTACAGCTTCTGTCAGACGCACATGCTATGTGCTCCCTCTGGTGTAGGAGACCTGGATCATAGGTATTACCTGGGTAACCAGCAGCGCATAAATTATCAGTATTTGGCTTGTCTGTGTTACCAGGATTACCAACAGTATCCGAGTTATCTGTGTTACCTGGCTTGTCCAGATTACCTGGGTTACCAGTAGCATCCGGGTGATCTGTCACATTGTTTGTCTGAATTACCAGGATTTCCAGCAGCATCCGAGTTATCTGTGTTAGCAGGATTTCCAGCAGTAATCGAGTTATCTGTGTTAGCAGGATTTATAGCAGTATCCGAGTTATCTGTATTACCTGGGTTCTCAATATCTGAGCAATACCTTGGTGTTTTAGGATTACATGGCTTTCGGTCATGCCTACATTATTCACTATTGCCTGTGTCTGCAGATTGGTATCCTTATCATTATATCCATATCCTTATCATGTACCCTTATCCTTATTATATATCCAT